TCAGAATATACCTGTGACTGAAATAAATAAATTAACCAAAAATACTCTCAGAAGTTCAAAATGCTCTGTTCCATCTTGTGATTTCATTTAGTGATAGTTTTCATGTTAACATCTCCCTTTAGCATTTCGTTTAGTAGAGATCGGCAATTCCAGAGCTGGATGATTCTAGTGAAGTGAAGGTCTCCAACCTGCAGCTCAGGAGCCACCAGTAGCCCTCCACCCCCTTCCAAGTATCTCACCGAGGGATTTCTGAATTACACGTATTGTGCTGAATAACAAAAATTGGATTGATAAAAAGGCTATTACCATTGTAAATGTTATCATTTTGGTCACTAATGTTGTGCACTTAACAGATTTATAAACATATAACTGTACCACAACTAAGGCCGTGGCTCTTAAATTTTGTAATTTTCTTGTGACTGAAATGAGGAGCTTTTTACCTTTTTCATTTTGTAAAAGGAGCTCACCGGAGGAAAAAGGTTTGGGCCCCCCGGTGTATCGAGTTTAAAAACACGGTGGAGTTTCAAAACACAACTCCAGGTCTGATTGTGATGAGGAAACATTATAACACAGATCAGAAAAGAGCATAATACAGGCTTTTTAATCATAGTATGTTCTTCTCTATCCCCATGTGTCTTATATCTGTGTAATCCCGCAGTGGTGCATGGGTTTATATTAGTCTATTTGTTCTTATACTTGTTCTGATACAGCTCAAGATCTTTCTAAATCTTCAGAAAAGCTTCATTTCCGTCCTGTGAATGTGACTTTTTCAGTATCGATTCCTGCTCAAATAAAAATCTAGTTTCTGTTCTAGATTTAGTGTTAATTAGTATCTGATTTTACAATTTAAACAATCTAAACCAGGTCTAAACGAGGTTTCAATCCAACCTAAATTAGGTCTAAATTTGGTCTAAACCAGGTCTAAATCAAGCCAGATTCACAGCATATTTAAAGCAAGAATAAACCAGGTCTAAACCAGATCTAATATAGGTTTAAACGAGGTCTAAATCAGGTCTAGATCATGTCTAAACCAAACCAGATTGACAGCATTTCTAAAGCAAGAGTAAACTGGGTCTAAATGAGATCTAAACCAGGTTTAAACCAGGTAAGAACCAGATCTAATCTAGATTTAAACCAGGTATAACTCAGGTCTAAATCAACCCAGATTCACAGCATCTTTATAGCAGGAGTAAACTGGGTCTAAATGAGATCTAAACCAGGTCTAAACCAGATCTAAATCAAACCAGATTGACCAGAAAAGCTTCATTTCCGTCCTGTGAATGTGACTTTTTCAGTATCGATTCTTGCTCAAATAAAAATCTAGTTTCTATTCTCGATTTAGTGTTAATTAGTGTCTGATTTTTGACAACCCCAGACACCAGTGGTCTTTTAAAATTTAATTCAGTACGATTGTAAATTGCCGGTCTCATCTCAATATTGTTTTGTTTGTAGTTAAGATCTTTTCATCTCTTTATCTCCCTCTATCTACGGCAGGGGTCGGCAACCCGCGGCTCCGGAGCCGCATGCGGCTCTTTAGCATCCCCTTTAGTGGCTCCCTGGAGCTTTTTCAAAAATGAGTGAAAATGGAAAAGGAATGATTTTTTTGGTTGTTGTTTTAATCTGGTTTGTTTCAGGGGTAAAACCCTCGTTCATCTCTGGTCATGGATTGATCCATCAGCTGTGTGCAAATGCAAAGACATTAAAAGTGTTTGAGCAGAACAGGTGAAGCGGGGGGCGGTGTCCACCTCCACCTCAGAAGCTCTTTCCCCGAAAAAACAAACAAACAAAAAACAAAAAAAAAGAACAACATATAACGAACCAAACGGGATTCACGCTTCTGTTCGGATGCTGCACCACCTCGGAACCAGCCGCGGTCGAGCGCGGAGGACCGGAGCAGCCCGGACCTGTAGTCCACAGCGCATTCTCGCTTTTCCCGCACAGAGGATGACACGGAACCGTTCGAACCCAGTTCTTTGCGCGCTGGTCTTGCTCGCCCCCGTCTGGAACCAGGACACGGAGGACGAAGCCTCAGGACAATCTGACCAACACTGGACCCACAGCCTCGTCTTGAGGAGCTGCGCTGACTGCTCCTGTGTGTTTGGTGCTCCTGCCTGAGCTCAGAGCTTCTGCTCCGGGCTGATGTTTCGGACAAAGTTCTACATGCTGCTGTGTTTATGAGTGCTCCTGTGCACGATCAGAAGAAATGCGACTGCTGCTCTGAATACTTCCATCATCGTCGTCATAGTAACAGGTAAACGTCGGTCGCATTTCAGCGCGTCAGCTCCTAAAACTCCGTTTATCTCAGTTTACACCCAAACGTGAAACCGGAGTTTTTAGAAAGATTCATTTTCAGAGGTGAATTCCCCGTTTGCGAGTGAACGATGTGAACAAATGAAGGGAAATGTCTCCGTTTTTAAAAATACTCCGTGTACGTGTAAACGGGGCCTAAATGACAAAGGAATAAACACTAACCACCTGATTTCAGTGGCTACAGACCGAGTCTGAGAGGGTCACAGAGGGTTTGTGTATCATGATGCTCATTTTGTATTTGTAGCCGACTTAGTCATTTTAATAGTCGGTTTGTACAGCTCATACACTGACAGCCTTTGTTGCCTTCATATTAGGCTTATATAAGACTTTAAATTTTTTGCGGCTCCAGGCAGGTCTGGTTTTTGTTTTTTTGGGCCAATATGGCTCTTTGAACATTTTGGGTTGCCGACCCCTGATCTACGGGATTATGCAGTATTATGGTCATGCTACACTTCACTCACTTTTTTTTTATTTTTTTTTGGTGTCTCAATATTCTTTTACAGTTTTTGTTTTTGCCTTTCATCTCTTGTGTCTCTTGTCTCTATATCTTTAGAAACCACGACGGTCACTTTTCCTCTCAGGACATCAGGACATTTGTACCTTTTGTGCTTTTTGTTTTTGTCCAATACCAGAACTGCAGCTGATTACTGATTCCAGATACACTATTGCGGTTTATAAAAATGCATTTCTTTGACTTTTTTTGCCTTTTATCTCGAAGTTCATCTTTTATTCTCCCTATAAAGCTTGAAAGTATTTCCTCAACCGCAGGCACTGGAGATAAAATCCTCTGGCTGAGGTAGACGAAAACCAAGACTCGAGATCAGAAGATGGGTCCCGCTGATCCTCACAGGTTTACCCAGTGACACTGAAGGACGGGTCAAATGCACAAGACCCAATGTCCTACAGGGACAATAAAGTGTGTTTTACCTTACTGATAAACTGAAGCAAAACCAAACCAGATTCACAGCATCTTTAAAGCAGGAGTAAACTGGGTCTAAATAAGATCTAAACCAGGTCTAAACCAGGTCTAAACCAGGTCTAAACCAAACCAGATTCACAGTATCTTTAAAGCAGGAGTAAACTGTCTAAATGAGACCTAAATCAAGTCTAAACCAGGCCTCAATCCATCTTAAACTAGGTCTAAACCAGGTCTAAACCAGGTCTAAATCAAAACAGATTCACAGTGTTTTTAAAGCAGGAGTAAACTGGGTCTAAATGAGATCTAAACCAGGTCTAAAGCAGGTCTCAATCCAGCCTAAATTAAAACCAGGTTTAAACCAGGTCTATATCAAGCCAGATTCACAGCATCTTTAAAGCAAGAGAAAAGTGGGTCTAAACCAGGTCTAAACCAGGTCTAAATCCAGGTCTAAACCAGGTCTAAACCAAATCAGATTCACAGCATTTCTAAAGCAAGAGTAGCCTGGATCTAAATGAGATCTAAATCAGGTCTAAACCAGATCTAATCTAGGTCTAAACCAGGTCTAAACAGGTCTAAATCAGGTCTAAATCAGGTCTAAACCAAAACAGATTCACAGCATCTTTAAAGCAGGAGTTAACTGGGTCTAAATGAGGTCTAAACCAGGTCTAAACCAGGTCTAAATCAGGTCTAAACAAAACAGATTCACAGCATCTTTAAAGCAGGAGTAAACTGGGTCTAAATGAGGTCTAAACCAGGTCTAAATCAGGTTTAAATCAAAACAGATTCACAGCATCTTTAAAAGAGGGGTCTAAATGACTTCTAAACCAGATCTAAACCACGTCTCAATCCAGCCTCAATTAGGTCTAAATCAGGTCTAAACCAGGTCTAAACTAAACTAGAGTTACAGCATCTTTAAAGCAAGAGTAACCTGGGTCTAAATGAGGTCTCAACCAGGACTAAACCAGATCTAAATCGAGATGTATTGTGGGGCCAGTCCATTCAAAGCTTTAAAAACAAACTGTAAAATCTTAAAATCAATTCAAAATGTTTTAAATGAACAGGAAGACAGTGCAAAGACACAAGAATTGGGGTTATGTTCTCTCTTCTTTTGGTCCCTGGTAAAAGTCGAGCTGCAGAGTTTTCGGACTCACTGTAGTCGGTAAAGTGCGTTTTGTACTTTACGTTCGTCCAGGCGCGATGAAATAAAAGTGTGCACGACTTGTTCAGAAACTTTAAAAGATAAACAAGGTAGATAAACTAGACAGATTTAGATAAAAGCCGCAAATGATAAAAACTCGATTTTAAAACGCCACTGATCTGTTTGTCAAATTTAAAATCAATGTCTAAGGTTGGTAACTGTGGGACGAACATCATTTTTGAGGAGTCCCACATCTTCCCTTCATTTAGTTTTATAAAAGTTTTTGGGGCATCTGCATCAAAATGGTAAGAGAGGCCATGTCTTTTAAAAAATTCTAAATGTAAAAGAGAAGAGAAATAGAAATAGGAAGAGAAAAAAATACAGCAAATCATAATCTGATTCAGTAATTACATTTGGCGCGGGAAAACATTGCTCCTTTGAACATGCCCATTACTAAAACAAGCACATTTTAAGACAAAAATGTGTATTGATGGTAAATTTGAGTTTGTTTGTTTTTTTTTTTATCTAGTTTTGACATAAAAAAGTTCTGTTTTTATTCTTTAAAGTTCCTGTTTTGTCTTGTAGTTCGATCCCTCACGTTGACTCTGTGCTGTGCCTGTGTGTGTCCACCAGGAGGAGCCGTACGTGATGTTTAAGAAGTCGGATAAGCCTCTGTACGGGAACGATCGCTTTGAGGGATACTGCATCGACTTGCTCCGGGAGCTGGCGGCCATCTTGGGCTTCAGCTACGAGATCCGCCTGGTGGAGGACGGAAAGTACGGAGCCCCGGACGACAACACGGGACAGTGGAACGGAATGGTCAAGGAGCTCATGGACCACGTGAGTACTGGGTTTACCCGTTTCCATGGAGATGTTATTGCTTTGTCAAGAATGTTCCACAGTGTTGCAAATACAGCAGAGACGGATGTAGATTTGACAAGATATAACTGCATATTTGTAACATATGTAAAATTCAAGTTAATTAATTTATCACTGGTTTTATATAATGACACCCAAAGGTCTTTACACAGAATTATTCATTCAATACACTGGTGGTGGGAAGATACTAATGTAGTCACAGCTGCCCTGGGGCAAACCAGGCAAGCAAGGCTGCCAGTGGCCCCCAACCAAAACAAAAACTCAACTATAATGTGTAAACATAGTAAATAAAATGCAGAATCAGTATCAAATTGTCAGCTTCTAATAAGTAATAAGTATAATAAGTAATCCATCCATTTTCGTCCGCTTATCCGGGGCCGGGTCGCGGGGGCAGCAGCCTAAGCAGGGACTCCCAGACTTCCTTCACCCCAGACACGTCCTCCAGCTCCTCCGGGGGGACCCCGAGGTGTTCCCAGGCCAGCCAGAGAGACATAGTCCTCCAGCGTGTCCTGGGTCTTCCCCGGGGCCTCCTCCGGTGGGACATGCCCGGAACACCTCCCGAGGGAGGCGCCCAGGAGGCATCCGGAACAGATGCCCGAGCCACCTCAACTGGCTCCTCTCGACGTGGAGGAGCAGCGGCTCTACTCCGAGCTCCTCCCGTGTGACTGAGCTCCTCACCCTGTCTCTAAGGGAGCGTCCAGCCACCCTGCGGAGGAAACTCATTTCGAGCGCTTGTATCCGCGATCTCGTCCTTTCGGTCACTACCCAGAGCTCATGACCATAGTAATATGTCAATATACAAAATAATAAGTAATGTAATAATAAGAAATGTAGGTCTAAACCAGGACTAAACTAGATCTAAATTAGGTCACAGCCATGTGTCAAGTAGGTCTAAATTAGGTCTAAACCATGTCTAAACCAGATCTAAACCAGTTCAAATCAGTCCAGATTCACACTATTTTGAAGCAAGAGTGAACTGGGTCTACATGAGATCTAAACCAGGTCTAAACCAGATCTAATCTGGGTCTAAACCAGGTCTAAATCAGGTCTAAAGCATATCAGATTCACAGCATTTCTAAAGCAAGAGTAAACTGGATCTAAATTAGATCTAAACCAGGTCTAAACCAGATCTCAGTCCATCATAAAGTAGGTCTAAATTAGGTCTAAACCAGGTATAAGTCACTCTAGATTCACAGCTACTTTAAAACAGGGGTAAACTGGGTCTACATAAGATCTAAACCAGGTCTAAACCAGGTCTAAACCAAGCCACATTCAGAGAATTTCTAATGAAGGAGTAAACTGGGTCTAAATGACATCTAAACTAGGTCTCAATGCATCCTAAAGTAGGTCTAAATTAGGTCTAAACCAGATCTAATCTAGGTCTAAGGCAGGTCTGAATCAGTTCTAAACAAAACCAGATTCACAGCAAGATTAAACTGGGTGTAAACCAGGTCTAACTGAAGTCTAAACTAAACCAGACTAACAACCTCTCTAAAGAAGGAGTATAGAAGGTCTAAACCAGGTCTAAACCAGGTCTAAACCAGATGTAACTGTGTCTAAACTAACCAAGACTAATCCAGCCTTGCACATTTTCCAAATTCGGTTACCATCCCATGCCAATCTCTCTCATTTTATTTTTAATTCTTTTAATGAACACATCGATGTTTTTCCACTATAATCTGAACCTCCTGGAGTCTGAGCGACGGCGGCCGACCAGAGGAGCCGTGTGGCGTTCTTCAGACAGATTCAGAGCATCTCAAACGGAGGAAGTGCTGAATTGAGGCGAGCATGTGGAGATGTGCTGTCAGGAGGAGTTAGTGGAGCTATCTGCAGCCTGTCCAGAGCTACGAGAGGAGGAGGAGGAGGAGGAGGAGGAGGGAGGAGGAGGAGAGGAGGAGGAGGAGGAGGAGGAGGAGGAGGAGGAGGAGGACGAGGAGAGAGGAGAGGAGGAGGAGAGGAGGAGGAGGAGGAGAGGAGGAGGAGGAGGCGAGGAGGAGGAGGAGGAGAGGAGGAGAGGAGGACGAGGAGGAGAGGAGGAGGAGGAGGAGGAGGAGGAGGAGGAGGAGGATGAGGAGGAGAGAGGAGGAGGAGGAGGAGGAGGAGGACGAGGAGGAGGAGGAGGAGAGGGAGGAGGAGGGAGAGGAGAGAGGAGGAGGAGGAGGAGGAGGAGAGGAGGAGGAGGAGGAGGAGAGGAGGACGAGGAGGACGAGGAGGAGGAGGAGGAGGAGAGGAGGAGGAGGAGGAGGAGGAGGAG